CAGATGTGGTCTCCTCACTTCAAAAAAGATATTTTGGCCTTGGAAAGGGTTCAGAAAAGGGCAACTAAAATGATTAGGGGTTTGGAATGGGTCCCATATGAGGAGAGGTTAAAGAGACTGGGACTTTTCAGTTTAGAAAAGAGGAGACTGAGGGGGGATATGATAGAGGTCTATAAAATCATGAGTGGTGTGTAGAGGGCCGATTTAAAAAAAAAGTTATTTATTAGTTCCCTAAATAGAAGAACTAGAGGACTCCAAATGAAATTAATGGGTAGCAGGTTTAAAACTAATACACGAAAGTTCTTCTTCTCATAGCATGTAGTCAACCTGTGGAACTCCTTGCCAGAGGAGGCTGTGAAGGCTAGGACTATAATAGAGTTTAAAGAGAAGCTAGATAATTTCATGGAGGTTAGGTCCATAAAAGGCTATTAGCCAGGGGATAAAATGGTGTCCTTGGTCTCTGTCTGTCAGAGGCTGGGGAGGGCCTGGTGCTGGCCACTGTCGGTAGACAGGCTACTGGGCTAGATGGACCTTTGGTCTGACCTAGTATGGCTGTTCTTATGTAGGAAGGCTGACTGTTTAAAATCCATTTTGAAAACTCTAAAACAGCTTCATGAATAGATGTTTTCTAGAAATTATTTGCATTTCAAATACATTATTCTTGGACAAATATGTAACTTGATATACATTTTGTTGCTTTCTTTCCTAGGTGCAGTGAAACTTCAGGTCCTGGACAACTTGTTGTTTATCTTGAATGAAGAAGTAAATATAATTTTATTTGTCTGAAATTGCTTTTACAGTGACTTTTTACGAAACTTTTAAAAATTACTAGTGTTCTCCATTTTGGGATTATCAATCTACTGAAACAAGCCTTGATTGTGTTAAGAAAATATGAAATGTACACCTGAATTTTTGTTTTCTTCTAGAATATTTTGAGCATGTGGAATGTTTATTCTCTTACCTTGGTTTGGGATTGGCCCTTAGTTCATATTGAAGAATTTCTCCTAACTACAGAATCAGCATCTTCAGTTGAACGGTAAATGAAGAATTATAGTACCATCTGTGGAATATGCCATGTGTATTATTGCGGGAAGTGTCCAGCCCTCATCTGGCTTTCTGTGGGGCATGTTTTGGGATAATCCCCAGTTGGTGAGAACAGGAACTGAGCTCAGGTTTAACTATCAGGGAGTCTAAGAATTGAACTGCATTGTATGATAGATCTCATTTTTGCTTCTTGACATTCTTGCTTCACTGACATTTTTCTAGCTTAGTAAGGTGCAGTGCTAGATATGCAGCCCAAGTATTTAGTTTCATTCCAGACAGGGTAAAAATGAGGCCTCCTGTAGATTTCCTGACTCTTTCTCATTACTATTAAAGCTGTTCAGAACACTCCTCCTAGACTAGCAAGCATCATTTTGGCAATGCTCTCATTGGCTGTATTGCTCTCAAGACTAAGTGAGATGATAACCTTATCCACAATAAATATAATTAATGGTGTTTATCTTCCAAAGTAGACAAATTAGTGGTAACTCGTTTTGCAATTCAAATTACAAATACAAAAGAAGTTGTTGCCAATTCATTTAAACTGCAAAACGAGATACCACTTATTTGTCTACTTTTGACGATAAACACTGTTTTAGTTATTGAGGACTATTTTACTAACAGAGAAGACATTAGAACACAAAAGTACTCATACCATTAAACCTACTTTTCTTCCAAGTTTGCTACCACATGCATGGTTTCAAGCTTGGAAACGTGAATTTCTATCCTGTGCATGATGATGTATTGTGCTACTGTAGGGCCATATATTGTACTTACCACAATATCTCAGTCTTCATAGCAATTCCCCATTTAAACTACGATTGATTCAGTATTTTTGTTTTCTTCTCTATACATAGACAGGGGATTGCCAGCCTTAAACTAATAACCTTGACAATATCTGATAACAAACAGGTACAAATCTCTTTATTTTTCTGTATTCTATTTTTATTTTGATTGCTTATTTTACATGTTTATAGTTGTCTTTTTCTCAGTATTTGCAATAAAGAAAGTCCAGGGTGGTATAAAAAGCAACAATTAATTTTTTGCTTTCTATTATTTGCTTACTGTGAACAGGCATTGATATATAAGATAACAAAAAAAAAAACCCAACAAATAGCCTGGTAGCACTTTATAGACTAACAAAACATGTAGATGATATCATGAGCTTTCGTGTGCACAGCCCACTTCTTCAGATGTCCAGAGTTATGAGTTTAGTATGTGTTCACCCAAAATAAATAGGAGAGGGGGGAGGGAAGACAAAGAAAGGGGGTTGGGAGACAGAGAGCATCTGTAAGTATCTGGAGATTGGGTAGTTAAACTGAAGCAGATAAGAATCAAAGTCAACAGATAGACTTCCTTGTCAGGGAGCGCTGTTTGCAACTTCAGTGGCTGTCATACCCCCCTCCCCCTCCCGCTTGCTGTGGCCAAAGACCAGAGTAGGGAGTGGAAGAGTTTGAGGCTACTTTACCAGTCTTCTGGAAGGCAAGATGGAGGCCAGCTGGGGCTCAATCTCTTGGTGGTGGGATGGCTGCCCCAGTGGTCACTCTCAATATCATAGCTCTTCTCTCTGCCTCCTCCCTTTCCATGTCAAGGCAAACAGTCCGATTCCTGACACTTCCTAGTTTCCTGGCACAGCCAAACACTAATCTTCTTTTAAGTTAAGCTAAGAGGAAACCACACCAAATTTGGTGGTCCCAGCTCTTACTGTTTACAAGATGTTCTTGACTAAATAGACTCAAAGACAGATGCACATTTCTAAAATATATAAATAAGATATGTCATCTTGTGAAACAGTTTTCGACTTTCAGAGATTTTTGGCATTTGTCCTCTTTACTCCAAAAATGTTCAATAAATGTTCTACTTATTCTGTACAAACACTCCAGAAAGGACTCTGTGGAGTAAATGTGGAGATCAGTTAATTTTATTAATCAACGCGATATTTTATTATTTCTATACTTATTTTTTCCCCTTATTTTACAGATGAGAAACCTCATGGTATTTTCACTACCTGCAATGAATCAGCTTTATTCTATGGATGTATCTGGTGTTTCTTCACTAGTTCAAAGTGAAATCAGTACGGTATGTCTATATTTCTTTTAAAAGCTAATTATTTTAAAGTTTAACTGTTAAAGCAGTTGCTATATTTATTTGTTTTAGATTAGAGTCTAAAATCTGGTAAGAACTATACGTGCATATAAGCAGGGCTCGCCAAGCGGCGGCGAGCCCTGCGCACCAGGCGCACGGTTCTGCGCTCTCTGCATGCGCAGATCACTCTGCGCCGGCTCTTCTGGTGTACATTGTTTGTTGAGCCCTGCATATAAGAATAATTCCTCCTTCTGATGTTCGTACATTTTAAATGTTTAAAAAAAAAACCCTAAAAATAATCCAAAAGATGGAAGGAAGAAAGAACTATTATTTAAACAATGATGAGGGTGGCGCTGTGCCTACGTCTTATTTCCATATTTTTATTTTGTTGGCAGCTGCCAGTAAATCTTGCTGCTAGATTTTTGGTTTGGGTGGTTTTGTTTCCTTAGCATAAACAATTTTTTAAGTGATGCTGATGAAGTAGTGTTTTAGGGTATATTAATTGATGAGGTGATAGCTTGACAATTATATTTGGCTTGTCCTTCCAAACATCTAAGGGCAGTTTAGAACAAGGAGCTAAGAACCCTTTAGCTATCAAGACTGGTGTCACTGTGCTAGATTTTTGGTTTGGGTGGTTTTGTTTCCTTAGCATAAACAATTTTTTAAGTGATGCTGATGAAGTAGTGTTTTAGGGTATATTAATTGATGAGGTGATAGCTTGACAATTATATTTGGCTTGTCCTTCCAAACATCTAAGGGCAGTTTAGAACAAGGAGCTAAGAACCCTTTAGCTATCAAGACTGGTGTCACTG